ATACAGCTCATTGCTGTATTAAAAGCTTGAAAGCCTTCCTGCATAGTTAGTTGGAGAACATGTAGTGAATTCCCTTCCTCTCCATGAACCAGTATAGTAGTTTACACCAGGAGCTAAGGATCTCTCATGAAGCTGCACTTAACTGAGTGGAAGAGCTGTACCCTGTGACTACTCCATGCCTAAAAATCATCATATTTTAGCAGATTAAAATACTTAACTAGAAGGTATTGCCTAGGTTTCATTTGGTATTATGGACAAAGGGGGACTGTTGGAGTATGACTGGATGAAATTGCTTAATGTTGTAATGAATATGTTCAGAAATGATATTGACCTGAAACGAAACATTTTCATGTTATTATTTATTTATTTATTGCAAGTGAAGGTTTTTAACTTTGATGTCTTTAATAAACTACATGCAAATGTGCTCTCAATTTCACAATGAAAAAAGTCAGAATATATCCAGGGGTTTTTTTGCTTGGAGGGGAGGGGGCATTCACCATATTTTTGGGAGCTGAAATTATTTGCTAGATTTGGCACAAAGTTTGGACATAATTTTGTTCAACTTGACTATTCTAAAATATTTTTCCCAGCTACCAGAAGGTTGCTTGAGAGGGCAAGTGTCATCATCAAAGAGTCTATAGCACCTTTAATAGTAATTCTCATTTTGCTGTCAATCTCAAAAGAGACATCAAAGACTGAATGGACTAAGGAGATGGAGCTACTCTTTTTTTCTTCATGATGCTTCTCAGCCCCAGGAAGTGGGAGCAGTTTGCTGCCATTAGCTGCAAATCTGCTCCTGCTTCCCTGCACACGTATACACCTGCCTGGGAGCATTTACTCATAAGTAGTTTACTTGTGAGTAAACTGCTCCTGCATCTAATGCATGTGTAGACGCACCCCTGGGTACTTTTTCAGAATGGCTGCAGCCAGTAGTGGCTCGATCCCTATTCTCTTCTAGCTTTCCCCTTCCTTTATTTTGGGGTGACTAAGTTACATTCCTTTTGTTTGGGGCCTCTTTTTGGATTCTTCCCTACAGGGATCAAGTAGGCTAGTACCTTTATGTCACTTGAAATACTAGAAAAAAGGAGTATTTGTAGTCTGAATAAGCAAAGGTAAGTTGTGATGGCTTGGAAAAAATTCAAAGTTAAATTACCTTAGTTTATAGTACATTGATTGAAGTACAATAAAGAATGCTCTCTTCTGAGACAGCTTATTTGTTTTATTAATGCTTCTACTTCAATACCCCAGTAATATGTATTAGTTTTCTTATTAGGTATTGTTTTGGCTACCTTGCCACTTTTTTAGTAGCTAATGGAATTAATCACTGTTCCTTTGAGACATGCACTTACCTTATTGTAAAGCAGTACTGCTTTATTTAAAACTAAGTGCTAATTTACTGAGAATTATTTATTGTTAGCACAAATCTAAGCCTTTCTGAAAGTCAGAGAATAATGAAGTCTCCCTCATTCAGGCAGCTGATGTTGAAAGAGAGCCTATGACATGAGGCTTGGCAGTGTTCAGCAGCATTACAGGACTTGTGATTGCTGTAATTTGAGCCATTTTTGGTATGTCATGAACTTCCAGTCTTAAACCAAGCTACTCATGTTGCTATTATGATACTTAAATGCCCAACTTATAATTGAGTTTGATTTAATTTAAACTTTAATTTTTTTAAAGAGGTGAGGAATAGTAGTCTTGGTTTGAAACAGAATTAACCATTACCACAGATAAATGAGACTTGGATATTTACTAGGCCTGTGTGAAGTGGCTAGTATTCACTTTGGATTCAGATTCAGCCAATTCAAGGAACAGTGATTCAATTTGGTGATTCAAATCACTGTCCCGAATCTGATTCAGAGATTCTGTAGCAACCAAATCTCCGAATCACACAGGCCCATCCCCCACCCGCTGTCCCAGCCCCAGCATTGGCTGCTCCGCCCACCCCAGCTCCAGGCATTTTGGAAAAAAAAGTCTCTGCTCACCGGGTGCTGCTGGGCGGGGGGTGATCCCCGCTGCCCCCCACCATCCCATGCTGCATGGGGGGCTCTGCATGAGCCCCTCTGGCCCTTTAAGAAAAAAAACAAAACCAGAAAAACCCTGAACTCACTGGTTCCTGCCCGGCAGGGAGTGATCCCCGCTGCCCCCTACTGCCCTATGCCATGTGGGGGGCTCTGCATGAGCCCTCTGAAGCCCGGAGCTTCAGCGGGTGGGACAGCCATGGGGGGGAACAGGGAGGGTCAGGGGGCTCATGACAGAGCCCCCCATGTGGCATTGGGCAGTGGAGATTGCCCCTTCATTGGGCAGCACCTGGTGAGTAGGGGATCTTTTTTAAAGCACTGGGAGCTGGGGCGGGCAGAGCAGCCATGTGGGGGCTGGGAGAGTGGGCGGGGGTCAGGGGGCTCATGACAGAGCCCTCCCTAGGCAGTGGGGATCGCCCCCCAACCAGCAGCACCCAGTGAGTAGGAGCTTTTTTTAAAAGGGCCATGGTGGGGCTGGGGTGGAGGGGCTGAGGGAGCAAGCAGGGGATGGGGCCTGGCAGGGGTCCCCCCATGGTCCCCTCCCCACTCCTTCAGCCTCCCCCCCTGCCACCTACTTACCAGCTCCAAGTCCAGCTCCACCTTCCTGCTGCAGTGGACAGGGACTGCCCGAATCATCAAATCTCTCCAAATCTTTTCCGAATAAATTCGGAGAACTTCAAATCAATTTGGACCTTTTTATTGGTCCCCTGATTCGATTCAGATTTGGCCACTGAATTGGGCTGAATCTCCTCCGAATCGAGTTACCACCCGAAGCTTCGCACAGCCTTAGTATTTACCATTTACTGGTATTACCTTTGTGTCTCTTTTAGCCTTTCTCTATTTTAAATGTGTCATGATAAAGGGGTAGGAGTCTCTAATACAGTCTTCCATATCAAGTGCTTTATGACTAAGAATAATATACTCAGTCTCTACCATTGCTCCTGGAATATATAGATAGACTGAAATTTTTCAAGACCTGTGTGAGAATACTAGCTATTTTTATTAAAAACTGCAGCAAGGTTCAGGCTCCAGGGGTGGCTGTAATACTTCCTGGTGGCAAAGCAACCCTTGCCTCACTCCAACTCTAGGGTACCCTCCCTTTCTCGCTCACCTGCCACACCTTGATGTATTTAATTGATCAGAAGGAAGGCGGCCTAAGGGTCCTAGAGTGAGCCTCCATTCTTCTGACTGCAGGCAGGTCTCTCCTGGATCCCACTGGTCTCAGTTCTGCCCTCAATCTAAATGGGCCCTTCTGGCCCATCTGCACCCCCAGGGCACCTGTAGTCTTAAGGGCTATTCACAGCCTCTGATCTCCCCTACATCCATGGCCATGCTGTGCAGGTGCTGCTGTACAATTGCTCCCTTGTCAGGGCCTCAGCCTTCTCAGCTTTCACCCCTTTTCTCTTGCTGGGTCTTTTAGCCTTGGTTCTACTGAATGGGACCTGGCTTCTAGACTCCAGCTCTTGTCTTGATTGCTTCAGTTGTAGGCCCTGGGCCCTATCTCCACCCTGCTCTGAGTGCTGAGCTTAAGTTGGCTCTGTCTGGGTCCCCTGGCCCTTTCTGGCTTGAGTCACACTCAGCTACAGTCCTTCCATAGGCTGCCACCCTATAAGGCTCAAGCCCGGTCTATGTCTCAAGCATCTCACCCATGTCAAGGCTCAAGATGCTCTCGTGCCATCAAGCACTATTGGGACCTCTGTACCACCCCAGCTAGTCCCAATCCCAAACCACTGGTGCAAACTGTAACCAAGGAATAAGCACACTGGGTATAACAAACTTAACTTGCTCTAGGTACAAATGGTGCAGACATCAACATTAGTTCACTGCCTTGCAGCAAGGCTTCCCCTTAGCCTGGTTTGTATTCCTCTGTAAGGCAGTAGTATTTTACAGGTAGTCCCCAGGGCAGCTCATAAGTAATCCAGGCATCCTCCTGCAGTCTTCCAAAATAGGAGCTCTTCATTCTGCAGCCTGCTGAGCCAGACTGCCTGACCTTGCTCAGACCCTAGGCTTATATGCTCTCTAGGCCCTGCTCGTTCCAGTCAGGTGACACTCCAGTTCTGCAGAGGTTTCTTGTTGCGGTCTGAAGACTGGTTGCCAGGAAGCTTATGACTTGCTCTGGCAGCTTATTGCTGCCCAAACTAGTCTTTGCCCTATTGCCGGGCAGCTAATTCTGCAATAGGCAGTAATAGCCTCTTGGCCCAAGCTGCCTATTCCTTTTCAGCCAACTCATCCCAGGCAGAGTTCTCTGGACTGGTTGCAGGTGCACCCTTTTACTCTACTGGGCAGCTCCTGCCTGTCGAGGCAGCAGTATTTCTTTCCTGCTTTGCAACTAGCCCTTGTTCAGTTGTCTGGGTTCATCTGCTGCAGTGTTTCTCCTTAAAGTAATAGGGAGCCCCAGGGTCTCTGTTCCACAAGCATTTAGGGGGCTATACTAGAATGACTGTTTCTGATTTTAATAGACTTGCCAGCAAACAAAGCAGTAGTCGTAGCAGTTAGTAATGCTGTCTACAGGTATCTGAAACAATTGCTGAGAAATAGTAAGTTCTGAGACAGCAGAAATAATCCATCCTGTGCTCAAAATTTTCCCTTTCCACATAGGGTGAAATTCAGTCTGTGTGTGGTTCCACTGGAACAATGGAATAGCTCTTGCAAAGTCCTAGGTTGAACTTGACCCTTCAAAGAAGATTTTGGGATTCCCAAAACACAGTGGCACCTCAATGATTGCACTGAGTATAGTGGTCCTGGAAGTGCTGAGGACCCAGTTGGATACTTCGCTGAGGACCAGGATATTACTGAATCTGTGCAGGAAATGTATCCTAAGTGTTGAAAGTATGCTTGTTTGTATTTAAGAGCCAGGTCCAAAGCCCAGTGAAGTCAATAGAAATACACCAGTGGGCTTTGTATCAGACTGTAAGCCCACTATTATTTTTCTGTGATAGTTTGCTGATATTGCCTTCATGAAATTATATTCTTGTGTTTCAGTGTTCCAAGTCATGCGAAGGAGGATTCCGGGTTCGGGAGGTGCGGTGTCTGTCAGATGACATGATGCCCAGTAACCAATGTGATCCACACTTTAAACCAGAAGAAAAAGAACTTTGCAACTCCCAGGACTGCATACCCGAAATAGGTAAGGAAAGGGAGATTCTATTGGTTTGACTATGGCACTCCATCTAGTGGCAAAAATAGTTTACAACCATGTATTGACTTTCTGAATTTAGATTTTATTCTGTATTCCAAATTCAGGGTTTTGTATTTAAGCAAAATACAACTTTCTATCTGTGGTGCAAAGCATTTTTCATTTGTGACACTAATTTATAAAAATGTGGAGGCTCTGAAGTCCCAGAGAAGCCCCTTCTAAGATGACACACTTGTGGAAGGGTTTAAACCTCATTCTCAAGTGTTTATTCAAACCCTAATCATGTACAATACACTGCATTTTCTAACAGAGTCTACAAGGAACCAGATACTGAATAGCCTAAGCCTTTTTGATTATGAATTGCCAGGTGCAGCTTCACCTTTTCTCCTGCTTGTAAAACACCATACTAAGATGTAAAGACATTTTCAAATATTTAATGAAATATATTAACCAAGTAGAATATATTAAAATTAAAACATACCATCATTCATTATCATCATAATATATATTCATCATTTTCCTAATACTGACAGGGATTCTGGTTTTCTCTGTTTAAAAATTGAAAATTCTCTGATTTTAAACCCCCAAACTGTGTTTTTCTTCCATTAAAATGAAACACCATAGCATGTCTGTATCAATTTAACGTAATGTTTTATTCATATATTTACAGTTCTAAAGCAATTTGGAAACCTCCCAGTGCCTCAGTCATTATAAGAAAAAAAATTCTAAATACCTATATATTTTTGTGTTTGATTTTTGGATTTTTTTTTTTATCATGGAAAATCAGAGGTTCCCCTGCCCTCTTTGCTGATCAGGACACAGGCCCAGCTGTGGCTGTCTTCCTGCTGCTCTGTGGCACTGAGCAACACTAATATGCTGGTGCCCTGCCCCTGCCCCACATTCCCAAGCCACAGCCACCCCTAGCCCTGCTGGTGCCCTTCACTCCTGCATAGCCCCCTGCCACCCCCAGGTCATGCTGGTGCCCCTTACTCCTAACCTGCAGCCCCCCATCCCTGCTGGTGCCCCATACTCCTGACTCACTGCCCTCTACCACCCTGGTGCCCCTCACTCCCAATCCAGAGGCCCCTGCACCTTCTCCCCCCGCATCCCTGCCAGTGCCCAGCGCTCCCAACTCTCAGTTCCCTGCCCCTCTGGGCCATGCCCCTCTGGTGCCCCTCCCAACATGCAGCCCTTTGGCTCAGCTGAGGCCCTGGACTCCTGACCCACAATCCCCCGGCACTCCTGGTGCCCCTCATTCCCAAGACACCCCCTCCCAGCCCTGCCAGTGCCCCTCACTCCTGGCCCACATCTCCCTGCCCCCCCTGCCCTGCTGGAGGTGGCCCCCAGCTGGCCCTGCCTCGCCTAGGCCAGAGTGCAGCAGCTCTGACTCGTATGGGCAGTGATGAAGTGAGAATAGGAGACCTGTGGCCTCCTGGCACCGGCTGGAGAGAGAAGGGGAAGCCTGTGGTACCCCCCGCCCCCCAGGCTAGGGCTTCTGTACCACACCAGGCAACCTGGCCACACCACCCTGGACAGCATCTCCTAGCCCAGCTGCCTCTCCCCTGTGAGCACGGGCACTGGCCCTGGTGCTGCTGGCCCAGCCATGCAGCTCCCCACCACCCTGAAGGGCCCCACTACCCTCTTCCTCTGCTGGAGGGGCAGGTGCCTCCCCTCCACCCCACTCTGCAATGCTGCAGCCCCAACACCCAGACACCTTCCCCCAGTGTTGGCAGGCACCCACCCCCCACCTCACGCACCTAACTCCTTCACACAGACTCGCATGCCACACAGCCCCCTGGATAGTCTCCAAACCCTGGCCCTCCAACCTCCGCCCCCCATAGGTTTACCTGCAACCAGCTGCTGGGGCTGCTCCCACCATCCTGCACATGCATGTGGTGCCCCTACCTCCAATTGCCCCAAGCAACTCCTTGCAGGCTGGAAGGCTGCCAGCCTGTAAGGGGAAACCTGCGGTTTCCATTGGTTTTCTCCTTTAAGGAGGAAAATCTGTGTTTTTCTCCTTCAAATAAGAAAATTCGCATTTTTCTCGTTTTTTCTGCAGCAAACAGAAAAGCCAGACCTCTGCTAATTAAAAATAGGTATCAAGAAACAGTGTGAACCGTAGTCTACTCTGCATCAAGTCTCAGATCAGACTTTTCCTCAAATGTAGATTTTGGAAAAAAATACAGAAACTGAAACTGGGAAGTGTTGTTTTTGTTGTTGCTTCTTCTCCAATTAATTTATTAATACATTAATTCAGAATTGCCCAATTTCATAGTTATGAGTGTTGTATTTGTTTTTTTTCTTAAACCCTAACTTCCAGAGTTTTGCAATTATGTGAGCCTCTCAATTTTCATTAACAAAAGAACTTTGCAGTTTTAGTGGTTGCAGAAGTAGGTTTCTAAATACGAACAGAGCATACCCTGATGGCTCAGAAACAATAATGCAAATATACAGATGTCAATAATTGCTCTTCAAAAAAAGTCCCTTTTTCTTAACGTCTGTCTCATGTTTTTTCATGGGTAAGTTATGATTTTTCAGTACCTGGGATTAGCAGTACTGTCACTATTCACTTGCTGTTTTGCCATTTGGACTGCAGATTGGTTCCTTGAGAATTTGAAAGAGAAAGTAACTAGAACCTAACTACTGACTTATATTTTCATTATTCAAGAAAAATTATGTGTAAAAAAATAAAAATAAAAATAAAAATAAAAAAATTGCAAGTGCTGTACATTATTAGAAGAAAATTATGAAATTTACTGTTATTGATGTCATAAATTATTTAATTAAATTAAATGTAATTAATTGGTAAAAAGGAAAATTAGGCATTTAAAATATTGAAGGCTTTTTCTAACTTAAAGAAATATTTTTTTATTTGTATAATATGAATAAAAAAATCCCCACTTTGTTTCTTTGTATAGGTAGGCTGCTTTAGATAATTTTTAACTTGACAGTGAACCATTATGGGTAAGTCTGCATAAAAGATACTCTTTTAACATGACATTCCTGCATCTTGAACCTCTGTGCTTTTTTCCTCCTCAGATGAGAACTGCAAAGACAAATATTACAACTGCAATGTGGTGGTGCAGGCCCGACTCTGTGTCTACACTTACTACAAAACAGCTTGTTGTGCATCCTGCAGGAGGGTAGCCAATAGACAATCAGGTTTTCTAGGACGTAGATAACAACTACTCCATCATCCATAGCAGCAACGTCAGACTTCTATATGGGAACATAAACAGTGTTATTGCTTGGACTACAACAGGCTCTGCCTTCTTAAAGAAATGGTTTCCATATTGCTGAGCTCATCAAGAGCATGGATACATTTCCCACCCTTTCAGTTACACTTAACATGCAGTATATAGGAACTTTTTGGCTTTTAAAAATGTTTGTTGTAAAACTGTGATCTATTTAAAGCATTATTTTTTAATGATACTCTTGTATGCACCTGTTCATCCAACATTTAAGGAACGTACCAGCCTTATTTTTATATGAATGCCATCTCTTCCTTGGTATTTTTGGACCTCCTTAGATTAACAAACAGCATCAATAGAGCATGTAAATGAGGAGCGTTATAGTGTAAAGAGCCAGCCCCATGAAGAGCCATTTAGGCTCAGTTTAACCAACATCCTAACATGTGCTTTGATTACCTCAATCAATTCAGACTAAGACTCACTATTAAGCTCTCTGTGCTGTGCATTCACTAACTTCTTGTCCTCAAAGGAGCAGCAAACATACACATATTTTGACTGCCTGTATGTGACTTTATATTTAATTCATAAACTAGTGAAGAATATAAATTTATATTCTGTAATTTTCTATGGATGTTTAAAGTAATATATTATCCATCACAGTGAAAATAGTGCCTAGCCCTTTAAGTCTTCACTTTAACATTTGCAGTTGTCAGTGAAACTCCAATTCATGGATGAGGATCCTCCAAATTATCCTGACTGTTTACATCAGCAGAAGATCCTCCCCCATGATGTAGATATTTCAGTATGTAAACTGATTCCTCACATAACATTTCACCAAATGCGTGCTCAACAAATAATGTATTAAAGCAGTGGTTGGCAACCATTTTAGGCTGCAGGCAAGAGTAACCCAGTTTGGTTCAGAGGTGAGCAGATGGGGGTGCTAGGGCCCAGCTGCCTTTGCTGCTTTTCCCCATGGCAGCAAGGGAAAAGCACCTGCCACTGCCAGTTTTCCCTGTGGTGGCACAGGAAAGTGACTGACTGCTGCCAAAGCCCCACATTGCAAAATGTCACTGAAGCCCCACATCTACAGGCCAGATTAAATTAATCCATGGGCTGGATGCAGCCCATGGGCCATAGGTTGCTGACCCCTACATTTAGTACCAGGATCTGTCTTAATGTTGTGAAATTTCAGTTAGAATTGTCATGCATTTCTGAAGCAACTGCCAAATTATATGGCCCTCTGCCTCTAACACATTTCCCTAAGCCTTTGACATATATATACGCCATCTTGTCTTATACACACTGTTCATATAGCTCAGACATCTATAATAAGGAAATCCTAACTCAGCCCTGAATATACTACAGCAGTTTGTCTTGCCCTTTTCTCTGTTAGCATGTTCCTCAGTAAGCCTATTCTGAAAGAATACTTTCTATTTACGTCATTTCTTCTTTTCTGTACAAGAGTGGTTACAGATTCACACCTGAGCTACGTGTCTGATTTTTCTACACTTGCTGTACTCAGTCCAGTATTTGTAGACTAAAAGCAGGCTAACCTCCTGATTGTTCCACAGTCCACCTACTTTTATAAAGTCTTTTAAAAGATTGCTATGTAAATGAGACTGAATCATGCTGGGAGAGGGGGGGTGGGGGGGAGTAATTTCTTCCTGAATTACTGATAGCTATATATTGTATGCCCTAGTAATATCCCTGACCTTGTGTTTATTTTAAGGTGACTGCTGCCTGAGTCTAAAGAGGGAGCCCACTAACCCCATTGGGTCTAACATATCATTATTCTTGATTATTATGCCATTCCCAGGGGCCAAGCAATTAGAGTGTCTTATTCTAGATGTAGAGATGTGATTTCAAGCCTTTTTGTAGACTCATACTGAAGGCTGACTGTGGTCGCCCCAGCTGTAGGTGGATACATAGTCATTCAGCCTGGGCAGTCAAAGACAACTAGGCATGACTTCATGTTCTGTTGGATACAGGACAAGATGTGCTTGGGACAGAGCCTTGACTTTTTGATTATGCCACTCCCAAATTGAATACCTTTGAGCCATATTATAGCATCAGTGTTTGAAAAGAGCCCCCATTAGGTGTTCTCCCTAAAATTTGATGATACAATAATGACCTTTTGTGATTAAAAATCATTGAATGCTGTTATGTGCAACATTAGAACTTCTCTACACTTTGATTGGTTTCATTTACATTGTAATTAATTAAAACAGAGTAGGAGACCTGTGTGAAATTGAAAAGCTAATTATTTAGCAGTTTATCTGAGTTAATTATTCTCTCTCAGTCCTGTTCCTTTATATCAGGAAAAGTCATCCATGGCAAGGTTTTATATAGCAGTTTTAGATTGGGATTAACTATATAGTATAGATTCTTGACCAAAGAATTTTTTGGAGACAGCGCAGTATAAACAATGGTTGAATTTTCAGTAATAGTAAGTGTAGATTTATGTATGAATGTCTCATTTAAGCAAGTCTTGACATACAGTATCTATTTTTGTTGTCTGTGGTGGGCTGTTAGGCTTGGCAAACCTTTGACATTTGACTTCTTTTCCCTCATGTGTATTTGAGCAGGTTTAACAGAGTGTTTGCATCTCAGAAATCTTATATTCAGTCCACATGGAAAAAGGGAGTTGTAGTTCACACACACTGGTAATATGACCATAATCAATATGTACCGAATACCATATTTTTCTCATGTCCTGAGGATATCATGCAACGTGTTCTGGAATATGACACACCTTGTTTTTGAAAGGCAGAATGAAGAAAAAAAGATGTTTACAGAGTAATGGCTGCATACAGCAAGGACAGAGCCTAATCTTCAACTGACTCTCTCTCTCTCTCTCTCTCTCTCCCTTTCCTGCTTAACTGAAGCTGAAACCCTAGCTGCTGCTGAAGGCTGGTCTCTATGGGTGGATCTGTGAATTTGTAAAGAGCTAAAGTCTCCAAGGCTGTGAAATAGGAGGAGAGAGTGCAGGAGTAGCTAGCAGACAGCAAAATTTCCCTGAGACAGGCTAGCTTGATTAGTGGAACATCAAAACCATTAAAAAGGATCGATGATCATTAATACCTCTGGATTGAAGTACAATGAACTTGAATAGTAATATAGCAGCTGCTGCACTGTGGAGCAGGAATCAAAGCAGGGTGCTTCTATCCAAGAAAGAAATTCAGCTTCCCTACTTAATACATACACCCTAACTTTGGGAACCTGATTTTTGGGGCAGAAGTGTGTGTTGAATGCAAGAAAATATGGTATTCTTATTGTACATAACTTTTGGAGAGAAGATGGGTAACTTAAAGAGTGAGCTGGTATGTGAGCGAACATTGTGTCTCACTGTATTTGTTGTTATTCTATTAAACATGTAGTGTTTGGGGTGTATTACACCGAGTTATCTTTTTGTGAGTTCCATTAAGTCATTAAGTTACCATTAAGGAAAACAAATCCATTGGAGTTAAGTATAAAAGACTATACACAATCTTATATTACTCCTCAGGTGTATTGCTTTGTTAGCTGGATGTGATGAATTATATTCATAGCTATTATGTAACATGAACCTTCTAATATTTTCAGAAATACCATTAAGAACAATGTTAGTCTCACCTAATTAAACACCTTGCAGTAAAGGAGGCACCTGAGTCTGGCTAGACTTAAATCTCTTATCATCGTTTGCCATGATTCAGCATGAGTATAATAGATACTTCTACAATGTACGCTAATCAATTCTTCCTTCCTACACACAGCGGTGTAGAAGAACTAATATTTTATAGACAACAGTAAATCCTAGGGTAGTATTTCATTGCCACATGAAGTGCACTTTTAAAAACATTTGTTAGTTATTTGTTCAGTTATTGCATTGTGCGCAATAAAATAACAAGTATTATTGTCTAATAATATAGCAGTGCACCAGCTTACCCTGTTACCATACATAAAGCCTGATTCTGCTTTCACTTATATTGCTGCAAATCAGAAGTGACATTAATGACCTCTGTGGAGTTATACAAGTGAAAAAAACACTTTAAGTAAGAGCTAAATCAGACTTAGAATTTGAACAACACTTTCCCTCTCAGGTATGCTAATACATAGGTATTTCAGATTGGTAGAAAAGACTTACCTCTTGCCTGTCAGATTTTCAATGTATATGGGATAAAGTGGAAGATCAGAGTAACTATATCCCTACGTGGATATTTGATGCAAGGTAAACTTTGGGTCAACTGCTTAGAGATGATAAATAACCAAAATGAGCAAACGTTCTCTGCCTTTGTAAAGAATTCATTTTGCTGACCTTGGAACAATGCTGAAGGATGTTTAGGAAGGCTTTAAAATGGGAGAGCAAGGTCTGAAGATTTTTGCTAAGTATCTTCACATAATTATTCCTGATATAATGGGAATAATCATCCTTTGGGGGAATAATGCATGATTTGCAGAGTCAGGATGCATAATCAATGTTATTTTCATCATGCTTACCACATCCTATTTTCATACCTAAACGTTTCAGATCCAGAATTTGGTCCTCTTAATAGGAAAGTGCACAGGCATTAAGAATACGCATTAATTCAAAAGTTAACTTCTATGCAAATGCTTAGTATAGACTCAACACAGCTGAAATTTTGCAGGTTTGTGGTTCTAGCAAGTACTGCTTGAACCTACTTACTTAGCAAGAATTTGTAAAGTTTAGTCTCAAACCTTTCTAAGTAATCAAACCATGTTACTACCTGGCTGGCATGCGGGTGGGAATCAACAAAAGTTTAGAAAGGCAAGCATGGGAGAGAGAAATAGAACGTCAAGGGTCTGTGTCAAAAATAAGCCCAGCTATTAATAGAGCTATCTTTCTACTGAGCCAACAAGCTTTTTTTCTGCATTGGCCAGTTTTAAATGATGAACATTGAAATAACTACTGAATGAATTCTTGTGCAATGAACCCAGATATAATTCCCATAATTGTACAACTATCAAAGTATGTATCCTGTATTCTCACATACGGCATCTACTGTATTAAAAATCTACTAGAGTGATCTTTCCTACACTCAATAGCAGGAGAAATTACTCTAGGAGAGTTTTTTTGAGACAGCTGTGTGTGTGTGTCACTAGGATCCTCCCTCTGAGAGCGCTCGTTGGCGCTCTACCAGGCAGTTAATTACATGTCTGTCTATATGTGTTTGGAACGCATCACACAGTTTTGAACCCTGAATTCTAAGAGTAAATTTTCTTTGTTCCTAGCATGGCTTGCAGAATATATTCATGGGGTTGTGTTAGCTTCTGTTTAGAAGCTGAATAATATAAAATGTTTAATAGAAGGAAATTTAAGAGCAATGTAGTATTAAAAAGAATCATATTTAGTGGTCTTAAAAGGCAAGCTGTTTTACATTATATATTTATAAAAAACAGTTGCGTAAAGTTCAAACCTGGTCAGAGCAGGTACAGCTGCATTCACTTCAACAGGACTCACATAGGGCCTGAACTTGGCCCTTTATTACTAAATTAAAAAACCACAGATGTGTATTGTGATTTTTTTTTAAACGTAGGCTTCCTGATATATTAATAGAAAATGCAAACCACCACTGTGTTTTTGGCATGGTTATTTCTTTTGAGAATCCAGTATCTTCCCAGTGACTTTATACCACTACTTTTTTCATTAGCCTATTTTGTCAGTGCAGTGTGTGGGTCTCTTATGACCTAGTTCAGCAAGGCCCTCAGCATGAATGGACTTGTATGTCCTTGCACAGCCCCATTTTGAAGTCATCATAGCTCAGTATGGAGCATCTTGAAGGATTGGGGCCTTAATTGTGCAGATCATTAAGCCTTGGTTTATGAGTGACAAAAAACTTACTTTATACGTGTAAAATTATTTCCACTTGATCCTAACCCACTTATTGATTTTGGCAGAAGGATATACTTTATTATAACTTATTTTTTGTTATTTGTAAATACAAGATGTCTATAGGAAATACATATTCTGAGCTATGTCTATGGAACAAGCCACTGCATCAAAATAGTACAGTTATTTAGATTAAGCAGATTTTTATTAAAAGGGACCTAATATGTATTTATTTACATATACCATTTACATTGCTGTCTGGTTCTTTAATAATACTAACCCAGCTTTCCATGGAATTTTATAACACACACATATATATGTGTCATACTGTAAATCCATAGTTACCATTCTTTAATTTTCTGATTAGCCGGTTTCTTGAGTGCATTTAAAGGGGGAGTATAAGTTAAAGTACGTTGTGACCAGTTCAGGAATATGTATCCCTGGCAGTGCACCTGAACCAGAACTGTACAGCATCCCTTTCATATTGTATACATTTTCTTTCTGATGAAAAAAAAAATGTTAACTATTTTGTTTATGACTAATTTATTTTTATTATTATGAAAAATAAAGAAATTAAATAAAGATCAGCCTCTGTTTTATGATTTTATTTCCTCTTTGTTTTATCTCCATCATGGTCCCATGTAACTCTTTTCCATAGGTTAAACATGTATTTCCAGAGAATAAATCCATGAGAAGATCTAATTAATATTCCTTATGGAGAATATAGTAATGCTGCCGAAGATGTATAACACCACCCTGCTACATTGCAGTAGTAAGGTAAAGCACAGAACATACACGGTGAC